GTCTTCTGTTTTTTGCCTTGCTTGTCGACCCATGCCCGACACCCCTCAGCCACAAAGTCGCTTAAGGGACCCACCAGGTCAATTTCACGTACCATACAGCTCTTGTATCACTACTACTTCTAGGAGAACATATCACAGTTCTGTTCAGGCTGAGATCCTTGTCATCACAAGTCGTATACTTCCTTCGAAACCAACCGACGCGTCTTGCCCACACTCCTTGAGCATCATGGCTGGCAAGCGGAGCAAGCCCCTAATCTTGAAGCGAGACAACGAGGAAGCCAGTAAGATTCATAGCGCGGCGAGAAGCATTAAAACAGTACTGACTACGTGACAGAGATACGACTCTCTTCTCTGCTTTCATTCGCAACCCCAGCCTCCAACACTTCATCGCCTGAAGGCGGACAAGACAAAAGCCATGAATCCAACGACGGTGACACACCACCCACACAGAAAACTCCTCTCTCAAGTAACAGAGCGCATGAGGTTGTCTAAACCTCACGTCGCTCTTCTCAATCAGCGGCATCGCCATCAAAGAAGCTTCTCAACGCGCCATCACCTTGGTTTTCGACAAAATTTATTCTTGTTCGCACACACGAAACATATAACAGACAGAACTCACGGTTATTGGCAAGAGCAGGGAATATATAAGAGGTGCACTACGATTGTTGTCTCACGTACCTAAGCCGTGGCAAAGATTCTGCTCCTCAATCTTGTAGCTATCCGTTCACATCAATTCACACTAGACGAGATGCGAATTATTACGTGCGCTTTGCGTGGCCTGAGCCTCATTGACGTGTTCAGAATATGTGCAGGACTATATGCGCGTGATTGTCGGTCACTGCCATGGAACGTGATGAGCTGTGGTCAACGCCTCGCCACTCAGTTCACAAGCAATATTGTGATTTTTAAGTATAGCCTCATAAGCGGGTCTCCAGTAAGATCATACATCCTTTCTGTCGCTCGTACGTATATAGTATCTGGCCTTTTAAGTCCCTCGCTTCGCCCACTGTGTCGACAGTGCGCAGGCTAGTCCCCAACACATCCATGGAACGTCTTCAGATGCCTCTAAGGCTGTTTAGCAGACTTTGTTCGTACTTCAGGACATTCTCTCCGTCAACGATGTCGTTGTCTTGACTGATTCTGTGCCCCTGCTGCTAATCTACTCCAGCTCTCGAGCTAGAGATAGCGCCGCGTCCATGCCACGCAATCGTCCACTTAATGTTCCTATGTGGGTCTCCATGAATCGTCTTGGGTCGACCGAAAAGGGCAGGTGTCTTCGGGTGGTGTAGCCAGTCGTTCAACGTTGGGCAAAGTACGCGTCGCTAGCCTTCTGGAGGTTGTAAATCTTCCGGGGATCTAGAAAGGTGATTGCAGGATGCATTAGCTCTTTTCGAGGAGATGATCAGATTACGGGAACGGAGACGGTATAAAAAGGCAGTCAGCTGCCTCCAAAATGCGCAACTGAGAGCCCTCAAAGCTTCCAACGCGTCGACCCAGCTTCACTTACCTGCGTGATGTAGAGATCATAGTCTCCAACGTCTGTAGGCTAAACTGGCTATCGCAAAAGTCTTTTCAGCCACTGCAGAAGATGCAATGTTTGTGTCGATGCTCGAAAGCGACCAAAAGGAGCGGCTGGAACCATGACAGCAAGGCATGGAGTGAAGAGATAGCAAAAGGAGGCCAATTCTCTGGATGACTAGATGAATCTGAGTGTTTGGGGTCGCGTTATTGGAAGACGAGCGAGCATTGACCTCAGGCCTAATGTGCCAAGGGATGAAGGACCTTGGAGCGGCGAGTAACATCCGGGCGCGACGGTGAACCTATCGTTGTCCTGCCCCTGCAAGATCTATCATTAGAATGTTTCATGTGCCATTGATGTCGATGACTAACTGCTGCTTGTACGAACAGCGAGGGTACATAGGTAAGCTTGATCAGTACAAGAGGGAAACGCATGCCGGCACTATGCCACATGATACGATTTCATTGATCCTTATGCATGCGCATGCGCATGCAATATCTCACATGATGTTAGTATAGATGTTAACATCTCCAGTCGCCGTAGAGCGATTGCAACCTATCCACCACCTGCAGCTACCCAAACATAAGGACTACGTCAGATTTCGTAGCAGTCCATGGTTACTGAGAAAACATTATACGAGCATTTTTTCGCAGCAAAAGCATCTTCATGATGGTTTCCAGGCCTGTAGGGCGAGCTATAGGAAGAACATGAGGCTACGAATTGCATGCTGACTATGAACCAACATGAGAAGCTGATAGAGGAATGTTGTAGCAGGCAGCAACTCGATCCGTTCAGTTTAGTCTTTCAATATTTCCCTACTACCTACAATCACAAGTAACATGCGTTCCACACCACATGCGGCACGAAACTATGTACTCGCCCACATGCTTGCTTTCATGTCGATGTCGCAAGACATATAGCGCAACCCATCCCCCGTATGTAGTTGGAATAAGCATCCTCCGCCGGCTGCAGTAGGCGAACGTTCGGCGAGTGGGCGCTGGGAAGCGCGATGCAGGCAAAGTGAGCAGGAGGGTGGCATGCTGATGCAATTGGTACGTTTATAGTCCGCAGCGTGGATCCCCAGCGTAGGATATGCAGGAGGAGTGCGATCAACCGAACGGCCAGAAAAGCACAATCCCTTACAGATGCTCCTCTTGAACACAAATTGCATGGGTATCAAAATGTGTCAGCCTAATTTTCGTTATAACCTCAGTCCATATGCCTCCAAGTTGCAAGATCCTGCAACCTTCTTGTCATACTCATATGATCCGACGCAATACATAACGAGAAGCCTACAGCAACGGCTTTAACAAAGTACGTCGGCTACCCTGATCTAACGCATGGATTCCTACAGTGTATTCTGAATGAATCCGCATGCCAATTGCGACTCGTTCTCAAGCAATAGCGGGTGTTTATAGCATCCTATCGATGAGCGTGAGGATATACGAAGGTAGGTCGGCAAGCCTGAGACAGGTGCTGGTCGGCATGGATACGATTGGTGGAAAACTCGCTTGTTCGTGTATCGAGAGCAAGCAGTCCCTTCCTGGTAGGAGGCGTGGTTGGATGTACGAAAGCGAGCTAGGTGTTTGGGCTTTCGACGATCGGGCTGGCGGAAGAAGGAGAGTTTTGATCTGCGATTAGCCTGGGGATATGTAAGTAACTTTCTTGCGTAAAGTTGTGATGAACTCACCTGCTAGGTCGCGAGAAACTGACTGTATAACCTGAACACCGTCTCACATGCTGGCTTTCGCGCGTAGACCTCAAGGGGTGAAGACTCTAATGACTTTGATCGAGCATTTGCGATTTGGAGCTGATGATTCTGGAGCATGAATAAAGACTGTAGCGTGTCGCAGGTGAGTCATTGGAAGTTGAGCCAAGGTCTCGTTCGTGTTGATCTGAGAGGCCGCCCCCTTTGCGGCAACTCCCAGCCACACCGACGGGCGGCACGTTTGTATTCGGCGTTGTTGCCTGGATGCCACCATATATTAAGCTAGGTTCGCATTGACGCTGAGATATCTAGGTACTTCTAGCCGGTGGGACAGTATTCTTCGGAAGGATAGGCGGCATCCCAAGTCGGAAAGCTCGGCTCTATACCGTGTCCTCAGAAGCTTGCTTGTTGCAGTACGAGCACAATATTGAAGCTCTAGAACATTGATTGAGAGAGAGCGACGTCGCTTATCACATGGACCGAATAGCCACGAGTTGTTCTAGGAGGATCTGCACTCTACATGCTGAAGTATTGGCCAGAAATAGTTCTGAGGCAGGTATCGGCCGTTTCATCTCCACTGCATATGTTTAGCAAGTGGTTGATGCATCTACTCACGGTACTCTCTGGGGAGCGTCCGGACGCCACCAGGTCAATGCTTACCTAGGTATGATCCTAAGCCTGTGGGGGCCAGAAATTCTCACCCTATGCTTACTTCTGCTCGAATTGCATGACTATATGCTAAATCAATCATCCTAAAGTATGCAATAATTCAGACAATCAGAGCACAAGAATTGGTTCTCGGCGAGATACTTAGCTATCCAGTCGAAGACACGAGCTGCAAAAACTCCCACGATTCCGTATCTGCAAGGACAGGAGGTATGCAAGTAGAACTGAGTCTTGACATGTGCCTTCCGTTCAGAGTACTGGCTCAAGCTGGAACAAATCACAAGCGATGCATCGGAGATCAAATTCTGCTTCGAGTCCTTCTCTTTCATGCTTCGTCTACACACTAAATTACTGAGTTACCGATTCGATTTCGCTGCCCTTTTTTCTGCCATGTCGAGTTACGATACAGGGTTGGTGAGGTTCTGTATTGTCCGTTTTAGCAATTGTAGAAATGGTAGTAGGACGTAGGGGAAGTCGCGGTATTCAGGAGATGACGAAAGGAGACGCGATGCATGGGATGTGCTAGCAACACCCAAAGGTTTTGGGAGTTGGAACCGACAGATATGTTGCAGGTAAAGAGCAGAAGAGATTGCTTCGGTCGAGGAGCAGCTGTCGTTGTCAGAATGTGGAGACAATATGTGGGGCTGACTCTTGCAAGTACCACCAAAGAAAGAACCAGACACTTCCTCAAATAGATTTTACCTCTCCCTACTACAATAACGCACGTAAAGAATTTTGTAGATAGTAATAGAGAATCTAGAAGCCTACAGTACTATTATTCTTCAAGAGTTTTTCTATTAGGAGCTAACGTAGGCTGCAAGCTGAGGCGTGTTATTTCAATACCTATTCAGTTTCCCTCCTGTACGTGGTATTTGCATTGACTGACCATCGTCCTCCAGCATGGTCCTTTCATCAACAGCGTTTCTTCAAGTGACTTCCCGTCGTGGATGCACAGGCGTGAAGAGATGAGATAAACATACAAATGTCATTGAATTTCAAGAAATTGTCAAAGTACCATATGTACAATTGGTCACCTAACACCCGCGGCTCCGACTCGGTTCGAAGCAGAATGCAACTGCCTTTCTATTCCTTTCTTCTACTTCTTGATCACCGGTCAACTTCACCAAATACCTATTTTTGTCCTGGATTAGCGATGTTATCATGTGATACAGGGGGAACTCTTACCAAGTCCATTGTGCCAATGATGGCGACGGCATCTGCAAGCAAATGGCCTCTTGAGATTTGGTCCATGCAGGCCAGGTGGGCGAATCCGGGTGCCCTAATCTTACACCTGTATGGCCTCTCGCTACCGTCTGAGACCAGGAAGACACCCATCTCTCCCTTGGGGGCCTCGATGGCGCTGTATGTCTCACCAGGTGGGACGGTGTAACCCTTGCTGAAGAGCAGGAAGTGGTGAATAAGCGCCTCCATGTTCTCCTTCATGGCCGCACGTGGTGGTGGCGCGATCTTGTAGTCCTCGACCTTGACGGGGCCAGCTGGCATGTCGTTCAAGCACTGGTGGATGATACGAAGCGACTGACGGAACTCCTCCATACGGCAGAGGTAACGGTCATAGCAGTCGCCGTTGACGCCAACTGGGACATCAAAATCAACCCTGTCGTAGGCGTCGTACGGCTGCGACTTGCGGACGTCCCAGGGAACACCAGATCCTCGAAGCATAACACCGGAGAAGGAGTAGTTGATGGCGTCAGCAGCTGAGACAACACCAACACCCTTTGTACGGCCAATCCAGATACGGTTGTCCGTCAACATCTCCTCAGTCTCGTCGATACGGTCACCGAATTGAGTAGCCCATTGGTAGATGTCGTCGAGCAGACCGAGGGGAAGATCCTGTGACACACCACCAGGGCGGACGTAGGCCGCGTGGAGACGGGCACCAGAAACACGTTCATAGAATTCCTGCATGTAATCAGCAAGCGTGATGTACCGTATTGCTACACACGAAACTCACCATGAGCTTCTCACGCTCCTCGAAACCCCACAAGAAAGGCGTCAGAGCACCAACATCCATGGCGTGGGACAAAACCGACATGAGATGGTTCAGAATGCGGGTGATTTCGCCGAACAGGGTACGGATGTACTTGGCGCGAATTGGGATATCGATGTTCAGTAGCTTCTCGACAGCCAGCGAGAAGCACTGCTCGTTGGTCATCATAGAGACATAGTCGAGTCGGTCAAAGTAGGGCAGGGCCTGGAGGTATGTGCGGTACTCGATGAGCTTCTCTGTTCCTCTGTGCAACAGTCCAACGTGTGGGTCGGCGCGCACGATCTCCTCTCCGTTCAACTCCAGAATCAAGCGCAACACACCGTGGGCAGCGGGATGCTGGGGTCCGAAGTTGACCGTGTAATGCCGAATCTTCCTGGTGTCTACATGGTCGTCCTCCTCAGCCCTCGTTTCCTGGGCTGTCTCGGCCGGTGCAACGCCACCGAAGTTGGAATCGGTCGCCACCAATCGTGTCCGCTGGCTCTCTTCGACTTCAGCGTATCGGCGGGGGAATGTGGTCGACAGGCATCGCGCAATGGGTCGTGAAGGGATTGCGGTTCGGAGCTGAGGTCGGGAGGCGTTGAGGCACACTCGCTTCGCCGCGGGGCCGGCCAGACGCGCAAAGGAGACAGGCATGGTGGTTGTATCTCTCCCTACGTCGATGTATGGGCCTCAATGGGCGTGTAGAGTGGAGAGTGAGGTCGTGGCGTTGGAGGGGAGCTTTCCTCATATCGATGATGCTACCAGATTGAGCCTACCGCCATTGGCTGGGTGGGTCTTGGCGCGCCGGCGCCTTCCTCGAACTTTTTGTGAACATGGAAAGTGCTCCCCACCGAGCACACCAAACTTGACCTCAACACCGCAACCATGTCGACACCGAGTGCACAGGAGCTGATGAAGCGCAAGGTACCTACGCGACTTGGAATATATCATTTGCTTCTCGCTAATGCAACGACTAGACGCTTGGAGTGGGTCCAGAGACCGTCACCAACCAGCAGTCTACCGACTTTCCAGGACACTGGCCTGGTGAGAACCATGAATGGGACCTGGAGTACTTCAAGAATGTATGCGCGACCACAAAACTCACCCATATACTTGGCTTTATACTAATCACGGACCCAGAACTTCAACGTTAGCTTCCACAAGCACTCCCCCAATAACACTGAATTCTCTCTCACTGGTATCGACACCTCGGTTGCCAACGCTTTTCGCCGGATTCTCCTCTCCGAAATCCCTACCCTCGCCATAGAAGACGTCTTCATCTACCAAAACACATCCATTATCCAAGACGAGGTGCTCGCCCACCGCCTCGGTCTAATCCCCTTGTGCGGCGACCGCGAGGGTCTACGCTGGATGAAATGGTACAAGAAACCTACAGACGACGATGCAGGCTCAGGAACACCTGCCGACTATAACACGGTAGTACTACGACTTGACGTAGAGTGCAAATGGCAAGACGGCGGTCTACAGCGAGCAGTAGCCGGAGAAACCGACCCCGACAAGCTCTACGTCGGTCACAATGTCTACGCTAAAGATATTGTCTTTGAGCCTCATGGTCGCCAAAACGACGTGTTTGCGCATAGCGAAGGAAAAGAGATTCGATCTACAAACCCGGACATTCTAATCGCCAAGATGAGACCTGGGCAGAGCATAGCCTTGAGCATGCACGCCATCAAGGGCATCGGACAAGACCACGCCAAGTTCTCTCCCGTAGCGACTGCTTCGTACCGCCTTATGCCTACCATCGATATCACGAAGCCTATCATCGGTGCAGACGCTAAGAAATTCGCCCGCTGTTTCCCCCGCGGGGTGATCAAACTCGACAAAGTCACCTCTGAAGACACCCAGAAACATGCTGAGCTAGAAGGCAAGGAAGGCGAGCCAAAAGCTGTAGTCGAGAACGCCATGAACGATACTGTTAGCAGAGAGTGCCTAAGGCATCCCGAGTTTAAGGACAAAGTGAAGCTAGGCAGGATACGGGATCACTTCATCTTCAAGGTGGAGAGCACAGGACAATGGGAGAGTGACGAGCTGTTCTTGGAGAGTGTTAAGCTTCTTAAGATCAAGTGTCAGAGAATCAAGAGGGGGTTGGATGAGATGCAGAAATAGAGCATGTCTGTAAGATCCGGGAGTGTGGAGGAGCTTGCATTGCAACGGCGTTTAGGGCATTACGGTGGCGGGTTTCAAAAAGTACGATATCACGGAGCGAGTTTTTTTCTTCACCGATCGGACCATTTGTCACACTGCCTACGAGCATGCATTGAGGGGTTCAACATATGAATATACTATGCATTCATCTAGCCTTCAAGCAGGCCACTTCATGTGCCAATCATCACGTGTGAGACTTGCGAATGCCCTTCTCAAGGGTTTGTACCTAGGAAAATGAAGTATGGTTCACATATTCAGGGGACTCTGAAGCAACGTGCAGTGTAGAAGAGAAAGCTTGTTTATACTAATACAACTAGAAGTTCGCATCCAAGGCGTGGATATACAGAAATCGTAGCTTTACAAAGAGAGCCAACCAAAAGATTTTAAACCGGGGTATATGAGACTTCATCCTCCTGGGACACCTTGCTGAATAAACAAAAGAGAATCGTATAAAACATGTGCATCGTTGTTAATCTTGGTAGAGAAATACCTCCTTGTGCGTTCATCATGCGCGTCTTCACTGTCGTGTACGTGGGTACTGGAAAGCGACCGACACAAATGTAGCTCCGACGTTGATCAGAGCTCTGCCAGTGCATCGTTGCACAGCTGCCGCACGCTCTCAGGATCAAAGCGTGGTCGGAATGTCACATTTCTCCTCTTCTGTCGTCGGTTTTCCCTCTCTTCCTCTTCTGATAGGGGGCTGCTCCTCGAATCCCTAAACCACGACTTTGTGGGCGAGGGAGAAGGTGTTGGGAAGGCGAATCGGACACCCCGTACACCAGTAGCCTCTTTAAGAGTTTTAACACTAGCAAGGTGACCCTCTACCATACGAATAAAGGCGGGGGTGCCATTCGGTAGCCGGACCCCTGGTTTCGATCGCACCTGCTCGGTTGATAGCGGTGATAGCACACTGTCGTTGCTAAAGTACTGTGATAGGGTTTTAGACTCGACAGGCGTGCCCCAATTCGCATCTTTTCCGGGTGGTGATGGAAAGCGGAAATTCCTAAGCGTAAGATCTGGGTCCTGCTCCAAGTCAAAGGCGTAGGAAGCCGTGCTTGAGGTCGAGCTGCGATAACTGCTAGTGGAGTCGAAAGATCTCGTTCTAGACAATCGTCGGAACCAAGCCTGCTCGTCTGGAATGGTGGCGGAGTCTGGTGTCATGGGCTGCTCGTCGTCCACGGTCGGTGCAGTAGAAGACGGCGAGGGTGGCGCAAGAGCGACGATAGTCTCCTTGTAGTACTTCTCCGCAGCGTTCAATTCTTTATAGCGATTTTTAAGGGTCGCTTCTCTTGCCAGTGTGTCGTGAGAGAGTGCAGTGTAGAAATTTAAGTAAGCGGTATGTACAGGATGAACCTGTTGATGGTCAGCTCTTGCTTCCGACGTTTTACGTCTACCTCAGCCAGCTCCCAACACAAGGAAGGTGGGCCATGTCATGTGCATCGCTACGTACCTTGTCGTCGACTTCGCCCAGCAGATGCTCTCCAAGATTTGCGCACTGTGTGTAGCGGCGACTCGTGTATAGATCTTTGAGAACCTTCATCTTCTCCTTCAACGTATTAATTCTAGCCTGCGCCAACATGTTGCTCAAGCGTTTGAAGTTGTCGGTCGCAGAGAGTCGGTCCAGATCGAAATTCAAGAAAGCGCAGCGAGGAAAGGATGGTTGGGAACGTGCGCTTGGACGAGAGGTGGTTAGAATAGAGACAGGACAGAAAGAAGGAAGCGCAGCCTCATCAAATGAAAGAAGTGAAGCCAGCTCTGTGAAAATGATTGGTTATACTGCGGCTACCGGAGCACTCTGTGGAGAATTATGCGAACGACAATAAAAGCAATGCGACGGATAATAAAAGCAATGCGAACGCCCATAGTAGGGCATGTTATAAGGTGCCTGAGGCCCTGACGTACTATTCCTGCAGCGAGCGTGTGTTCAGAGAGACGGCTGGTTTCAGGTCTCGATAAGGGTAGGGGTAGCTTGTCAGTGAAACGAAACTTGCGCTTGAGAGGGTCAGGTACCGCATCACAACGGGCTAAAGCATGCAGAAGGTTTGAAGCACCCTGTATGCACTGCTGATTTGCAGTGTCAGAAGTGCTGGTGTGCATAGTGTCCGCATTGCTGAGTAGTGGTATAGTCACCTGGCCACAAGATTCTTTGGTTGCTGGTACCTGCGTGCGTAGATAGCTTGGGCGCACGGGTTCTGCCGGAGTTCACACCGTACATTAGTTTTGGGTACATCCAATTGAAAAATGAGACAATTCGCAAATACTTTCAGGTGGCTGATTTAGAGGCCCATGACGAGGGGTAAAGCAAGATTACACGAGAATGATGCGCTTTCCGCATAGGCAACCCTCCAAGGATACATTTAGCCTACATGTCTGCAACCACAAAGGAGGAGGGGTGACGCACGTGATGGATACGCCATATACATGCACGGTGCTGCCCAGGTGTGACGTAGACGCCGTGGCGTATATGCGGTCAAGAAGCACACATGACGCACGCAGACACAAGATCTAGACCATGAACAATCTCCACGAACTGGCTGATACAAAGGAGCTATGAACAGAGGTTTATTCTACACAGCCCATGGGGGAGATGGAACCAGATTCCCAGGATATCAAGTCTAAAGCTCCTAGAGCGCTTAACCCTCGGAAGCAGCTGCACCGGTAATAATCTCGACAAGTTCGCCAGTAATGACAGCTTGACGCGTTCGGTTGTAGAGAATCTGGAACTTGTTGATCATTTCTCCAGCGTTCTTGGAAGCGTTGTCCATGGCATTTTGACGGGCAGACTGCTCGCAAGCGTGACCCTCAGCCAGCGCCCAGAAGAGCGAGTTGGCGAGAGCGTACTCGCGGAGGTTGGGGAGAACCTCATCCTCGATCTCGAAAGCAGAGAAGTTGGCTAGATGTTCAGTTAGACATGGTTCATCTGGCTATAGAGTTGTGACGTACCAGACTGGGCAATGGCCTCCTCGGAGTAAGCCTCCTGGATGGTGGCCTCGTAACTCGAAGCGTTGATGAATTTGTTGTAGACGATCTTGACGGAAGCGTAGTCGGTGGGCAGCATGGAGATCTGGTCGGCAATGTTCAGGGAGTCGCCAAAGGTAGGAACGTCCTTTCCGGCACCAGCGAAAGACAGAACCATGTTCTTTCCGTTGGAACGACCCAGTTGCGCCTTGCACTTCTCGCCAATGACGGCCAGCTCAGAGTCGGGAGCCTCAGCGAGCATGGCTCTGACCTTCCTCGACATTCCGGAGTGGATACCACCGCAGAGACCCTTGTCGGAACTGCAGACGATGATCAGGTTCTTCTTGCCCTCACCCTCGATGGGCTTGGTCTCGGCGCTCTCGAAGACGGTGTTGGAGGTCTGACCGTACTTGCGGGACTCGGTCATGGCCCTCTGGGCGCGGGTGAGCTTGGTGGAGGCGACAACCTTCATGGTCTTGGTGATCTTCTCGATGTTGCGAATCGACTTGAGACGGCCCTCAATTTCACGG